TTCTTTCTTTCTTTCCTGTTTTCCTCCTTCCTTGTTTCTTTCCCTCCTTCCTTTTTTACCTCTCTTTCTTTCTTTCTTTCTTTCTTTCTTTCTTTCTTTCTTTCTTTCTTTCTTTCTTTCCTTCCCTACTTCTATACATCTCTGTCTTTCTTCCTCTCTCTCTGTCTCCTGTTTTCCTCCTTCCTTCTTTCTTTCCCTCCCTCCTTTCTTTCTTATTTCCCTCCTTCCTTTCTTCCTACAAAAAAATAAAAAAAAATAATAAATTATAAAATTGTAAAAAATTAAATAAAAACAAAAACCTACTTTGTCAGAACTACCAGTGTTGCAAAGGTCACTCGGCGACCGGGCCCTGGCGTTCCACCACAGGGCTCTGAGGAAAGGGTCCCCAGGCTTTGGGCTGCTCAGTCCAAAATGCCGGGCCTATTTTTTGTCCCAGTCCTGGCCTGGAGATGGTGTAAGAACTGCCTAGCATACAGAGGAAGAACACTAGTAGGTGAAATGACTGGACCGGGAAAGGCTGAAGATGAATTGATGGCTCAACAGGGAGGAGGGGGGGGGGGAGTGGGCTGCTGTGGGTGTAGTGAGAGCTGGACAAGCAGTGGGAGAGAAGGACGGAGCTGGCCAGATTGGGCCTGATGTGCTCATCCATGGGTGCACTGTTGGTCAGAGCACAGCCCTTCCCCTGGGCCCCCCTGCTAGGTGACAGGGCTCAGGCCACTTACAGGAGGCCTGGTGGTACCCCCTTATTGGTGGCCCTGCCAGGTTAGGAGGACTTACCAGACTGTCACCGATCACCGGACTCTCTTCCCCAGAAGATAGACCCTCTGTTCCAAGCTCTGTCCTCTCCACTCTCTGCTCCCTGCATTCTCTGCAGTAACCGATTGCCCCTCCCTGTAGTCATGCACGGTCCTACAGAGGCCCTACTTCTTTCCGAGCATGCGCATTGATGCCATTATCAGATGCTTGGCTGCTGGGGTGACTTGGTGCTGGTGTGCCAACACAGAGTGCCCACTGTGCCATAGGTTCGCCACCACTGTCCTATACCATGGAATTGGGCTATATTAAGAGGAGCACTGTGACCCTTTTTGTTGCCAGTATTTTACATCCTCCTCAGGTGCTGTATATTGCAGTTATTGAAGAAAAAAATGTTCAGGTGGGTCTAAAATGGCCATAGACATTTGAGAGTTTTGTAAAAGTTGTTGCTATAAGGCAGCATTCTGAGCTGTGTGGTCAGCAAGTGCATTGCCTTTGGCTACAAAATCAGAGGAAGATGTGTGTGCCATGCATTTGATTACCACTATGGACCTACAGTAGGTTTATGATTGGCATCTAAAAGATTATTTATTAGGTCCACATATTATATTCCTTTTCCATCTGCAGTAATGAATCCTCGTCTCTGCCATATTTTTCCAAAGTCAAGAACCACCCCAAAATATGCCTAAAATCTGTGTAAACCTTTACATCCCGATTCTCAAAAAGTTCACAAGTTCTAGTTAAGGCTATCAACTCTGCTGCTTGTGCTAACTTGTGAGGGACTCATGAGCAATATCAGGTAGCTGAACCACTGCATATACCTGTTAAATAGGTATCATCTGAAGATCTGGAACAAAAACCTACAAATATATCCAGAGCCTCTGGAATGGGGGTTTGCTGCATGTCTATTCTGGGAGTGGTGTCCTCATGTATTACCTGGACACAGCCATGTTCCTCGGGGGGGTTATCAGTTTCAAGCTTTATCCCTAAAAAACTATTTAGCATAGCTAAGGGACCCGAGTTAGAACCTGCATATTTCACTTCCAAATTAGCAGTTGATGACCTTATAACTAGTGATGGGCCGAACACCCGACCCCCCAATTTGTTTTGCTGTAGAACATTCAAACAGACCAAAAGTTTACCGCCAACATCGAACCTAATGCAAGTCTATGGAACTTGAACTTGCAAATTCAAAAGTGCCCATTTTGAAGGCTTATATGCAAGGTATTGGTCATAAACGTGGGATGGGGACTCAGGTACTGCCCTGAGGGACATGAACCAGTGAAAAATATTTTTCAATAAGTACTGTTTTAAAGAGGTAGTCATTTTTCATTGCTTATTTTGAATTTGAAAAATTCCTTTAAATATCATGCTTGGGGGGTCCCCTTAAACTACCTGCAAAGTTGCACATCTGTACAATGTATAGAACCTGCTGCAGTAGGACTCACACCGTAACCCTTCAGAGTTATTCTTAACACTTACAGATTGTTAACACTTACAGATAAATGGTGAAAAAAATTGAAATGACATGCATTTGTGAAACAGATGCTGAAAAATTGGGCCTTGGGTGTTGGTGGTACCCTAAACAAAACAAATTGTTGGAAGCTACCAAAATTAGGATTCTGGAATAGGATCCCAGTACCCTAACACATTTAATCAGTTACATCAGCATCAGGGGCAAGATAGTTGCTGTTGACCCAGGACAGACGCACTCTTTTAGCTGTCATAAAACCTCCAGCAGCACTGAATGTCCATTCAGAAAGCATGCTGGATGCAGGACAGACCAGAAGCTCGATGGCATATTGAGCAAGTTCTGGCCAGTGATCCATCCTCAAGACCCAGTACCCCAGTGGATGCTCAGTTAGAAAGGTCTCCAAGTCTGCTCTTGCCCCTAGATAATCCGGCACCATAAAATGATATGAGGAACTATCATCTACACCTTAGTTTAACGTAATACCAGCTGGGCCCCAACAAGTGCGCAGAAGACTCTATAGTATTCTTAAAGGGACATTGTTTAATTATAAACGAGAGTTCTCCCCACTTCGCACCTAATCCTTGTCATTTAGTGCTGAGGACCCACAGTGAGCTTAACTGTGTCTTGATAGTTGTTCTTGCTCACTGGGAATTCAACATTCCCCTCAGATTGGAGTCATTGGATTATTTCTGAAATCAGGCCTGCTAAAAATTACTGGTACTTTGTCGTGAATGCTGTTACTTTTACTTAAAACCGACAAGAGTGATTATTTTTGCCGCATATACCCATGTTATTTTGTTCTTTTTGACCAAGTTACATTCAATTCCAATATAAACTTCATATTGGTTTATTTTGATCATGAGAGTACAGTGTTGTCAGAGGAGGTTAGACTTTAAAAAGAGGTCCAGATTGATAGTGAACCCAAAATTATTAAGCAACCCTTAAGGTGATAGTGTTACACAGAGTTAACCCTAACCCTCCCATAAGGCTCAGCTTCTAACTACCTAAATTGACCAGATGATGACCAAGGCTGCTCAAAATAACAATAAACTGGTCCCTATTGTGTAAAGTCATGTAGTGGGTCCTTACAGCCTCCTTTAATTATCCTTACATTAGTTATAATGTGATAGTTTGTGGAACGTTTGTATTTGAAAACATAAGAGCCTAAATTTCCATGTAATGGAACAAATAACTGAGCACATTTTGTAATCAATAAATGTGCAGATATGGGAACTTTCACAGTAATGGACATTGAAGGTCCGACCAAGCTGATAGCTGGAGAAGAAACATCTCTATCCTGTTGCTCGGAGAACACAAGTGTGACTTGGCACAGCCCCACTGCATGGAAAAAATAAAAATTTTGTCTGAAGTTCTGCTTTGAGATAAATGTATTGAGGTGCATTATGGGGCCTATTTATAAATGTTTTCACACGAGTCTCTCCACTTTCACCCAGGATTAACACATTTTACCAACTGAATCTAATTAGAAACACTGGCAACTGCTCAGTCTTGTAACACTGTACCTAAATTAAATTTATATCATTTATTTTACACAAATAGAGCTTTTTTGGTGGTATACAGTGAAGGAAATAAGTATTTGATCCCCTGCTGATTTTGAATGTTTGCCCACTCACAAAGAAATGATCGGTCTAAAAATCGAATGGTAGATGTAATGTAACACTGAGAGACAGAATAGCAACAAAAAATTCAGCAGAAGTGTATGTCTAACAAATGATGACTGATCTGCATGTTCATGAGGGAAATAAGTATTTGATCCCCTTCACAAAACATGACTTAGTACTTGGTGGCAAATCCCTTGTTGGCAATCACAGAGGTCAGACGTTTCCTGTAGTTGGCCACCAGGTTTGCACACATCTCAGGAGGGATTTTGGCCCACTCCTCTTGGCAGATCCTCTCCAAGTCATTAAGGTTTGGTGGCTGACGTTTGGCAACTCGAAGTTTCAGCTCCCTCCACAGATTTTCAATCGGATTAAGGTCTGGAGACTGGCTAGGCTACTCCAGGACCTTAATGTGCTTCTTCTTGAGCCACTCCTGTGTTGCCTTGGCCATGTGTTTTGTGTCATTGTCATGCTGGAACACCCATCCACGACCCATTTTCAATGCCCTGGCTGAGGGAAGAAGGTTCTCACCCAAGATTTGACGGTACATTGCCCCGTCCATCGTCCCTTTGATGCGGTGCATCTGGTGTATACTGCATTTATCTTGGCCCTCTTCTATTAAATGGCGATGTTCAGCAAATCTGGTGCGTTAAGGTCTAATAGTCCGGCCTATATAAAGTAATCCACATGGACAAGATATACAATACACAACATAATCTGTAGAATAATTGAAAAATTATCCAACGTGTAGATTTTGCCTTTAGTCGTTAACTCTTTTTGCCAATGTTGCACAAAACTACAAGTTTTACATAGTGATTTTTGAGATTAATACATAATAGTGACTGGTATGAGATAGGGAATATTACTAACAGATGGAATGGATTTTAGTTTACTAGGTGCTATCCTATTCTTTAAATTAGAGGCTTTCCTGTATGTCATTTTAGGGTTTTTATGGATAATGTCTTATAATATGGGGTCCTGAAGAAGAATGGCCCAATGTTTGTTGAAAATGTGTTCCATTCTACGGTGTTGATGGTGGAACCTGGTGATGAACCTGTGTGGTCTGGACACCAACACTTTTATAGCAGTAGTTTGAGATGGAATGCATATTACTCTTTCACATTGCTATCTTGTTTCATACAGATCATCAGACGTTAATGATGAAAGATATTGAAAGTCCTGTATGGAGTGATGGTGAGAAGACCACACTGAGTTGTGAAGCTTTTAACTGTACTGGGGATGTCAAGGTGACTTGGGTCATCAAACTTAAAGATGGCACCCAACATGAGGTCTCCGACACAGGATCAAATGATAATGAGGAGGATCAATCACTAATGTCCAGAGAGTACCAGGTGACAAAGGAGCATGACCGTCAGAAGATGAAAGGACATGTGACCACAAAGCTGACCTTCATTCCTTCTATATCCAGATATTTGGGGTCCACTGTGTCTTGCAGAATTGTTCATCAGAAGAAACCTGTAGAGAAAACGTTTGAGGTCAAGACCATTCATGGTAAATAAAGTAACATTATGTTATGCCATGTGAGTTGTGGCCCAGTGTATTTAACACAAATAGCTTGCAGTTACCGAACACCCGAATTCTGAGCTGCTTCATTGCTCCTAACCCATTGAGAGTGTCTATGATTAATTCCAGTCTATGGGAAACCTTCACTGCTCCTAGCCCATTCAGAGTGCCTCTTGACTTATTTTTGGTCTATGGGAAATCTGACTTGTACATGGAGACAGTATTCTCACAATTAACCTCATATATTGGCATATATAGATAAGAATGTTGTGTTGGTCCATAGTCAGAAACCAACTTAAACAATACTTAAAGGAGAAGTACAACCAAAATGTCAGGGATCCAGGTATGACCAGAAATGTGTGGACTGACACAGGGAAGTAACAAGCTTCAGGAATGATATAATAACAATACAATTTATTATTAGCCACCCAAATATACAACGCACAGTAAACAAACCAACCTTCCACTAATCTTAGTATGTGCAGGAACACAGGCATAGTCAGGGCTGGAGAGGTGGAATGGTCAGGCCGGCCATATGATTCTGTTAACGACCGTCTGGTGGTACCTCTAGCAGTCCTCAGGACACGATTCCCCAGAGTCTAAGTCCCAGTCTGCTTATTCACCAGGGCCCCTGATGGTGGGGATGGACTTGGAGCAGACAGGAACCAGGTCGCGGCCCCTGAGTACACCTGCTCGTGGTAGAGGGATCCGCCAGAGGTATATACTGATGTAAAGAGGCAGAAGGTGTGAGCAGGGATGGCTGGATCCGTGCAGGATGGATGGATGGATCATCTGGGTAGCGTAAGGCGTAGTCAGGCAGGCCAGGTCAGCAACGTGCGGGCAGCGAGGTACCGAAGGAGCAGGCAGAGAATGGTCAGGGTCACAAGCCGGGATCAGTAACTCACGGGCAGCACGGTACAGAGGGTCAGGCAGAAGGATGGTCAGGCAAGCCAGGGGTTAAACAGGAGACGGTCAGCAACAATGCAGAGGTCGGCAACAGCAGATAGGCAGAGGAACAGGAACACAGGATACCAGGTACAGGGGCTCATGGGCAACAACACCAAGGCACTGACTGCAGGCCTGGCCATTCCTTAAATACACCTCCTGCAATCAGCCTCGGGTGATGGTTTGATTGCAGGAGTGAGCTTCTGGCTGCTGAAAGCACCCGCTGGCCAGCCCTGATACTGCAGCCCACATGGCAGGTGAGTCCCACCACCAGTGGTGAATCCATTCCTGAAACAAAGCTTGTTTGGCTCTCCTTCTCCTGTGGATCACAGGAGTGCAGTTTGTCAGGATAGTCAGGATCTACACAGATACCTGGAGTTGGCTAGCTCAGCCTTTCAGCAAGCTGCTGAGAGTCTGAGCCAGCCTCTCCCCCACCACAGCCCGGTCACTGCTCTCGTCTCAGAGCGGGAGAAGAACAGAGCGATCAGCAGTCTTTATTCGCTTAGTTATCAATGTAGAGCCAGCAGAGGACAGATGCAGCATCAAATCGATACTGTATCCACCTAGGTAAGTATGATTTAAAAGAAAAAAAAATCATACTTCTCTTTTAAAGCCTAACTCCAGGAGATATGAACATTCTCCCGTGCAGTTGGGCTGTTCACACACTGCAAGGGTCACTTGCTCATTTAGGTCTAAGGGAGAGTAAAAATACTTTTGCATATGTAATCCTGTACTCCCCCAGCAGATGTCACTCATCCATGCTCCAGGGGTGGAGCTTTCCTTGATGTCCTTACGTCTGATGCAGGCTATGGACCCTGCATAGGTCTTGATTATATCAGGATCCTAGACCGTTAGAACATGGAGGAGTAGGTGCTCTGAGGACTGGTGTAGCAGTGTGGAGGAGCAGAGGATTGGGTGGGTAAACCTACTTTTCCATGCCCCCTAGACCTGAATAAGCAGTTAACCCTTGCAGTGCAGGTTCAGCCTCCCTGCAAGAGCAAATTTTCACTTTTCCTGGAACTGGGCTTTAACGTGGCTCTATCCATTGAAAATTGTAGACCGAAAACTTACTTCTAGTTACTTGGTGTAGGTCAGAACAGACAGTCCTTATTCTCCATCCATTTTAGGTAAAACTATCTGTATTTTTATCCCAAGGGAAAATAGACGTTCATTGCTTCCTAGTCTGGATGTCTGAAATTCACTGCATGTTTTCTGCATATATTATTTCTTTGTAGGTGGGATACCAAATGCTTTCAAAAAAAAAAAAAAAACGAGAACATACCTTTTAGTTTACTACAGAAAATGAAAGAGCTTACACAGAAAATGCCCAAAATATTAAAAAAAACATAACCAGGGCTCACCGATCTGTGGAGATAGGAGAACAAGACTTTCACAGCATGTGTGCTGCATCCACAGAAGTAGAAAGTCTCTTTAAGTGAAGGAAATGCCCATTTAGACATTAGTTACTGAAAGAAATGTCCTTTTTGTAAGATGCCCCCTTTATTCCTGTTCTGGTTGCAACTCAAAGTTTTGGAGATGCTTTGAAGCACCAAGAATGCGACATGGGGTATAATTTTTTAAGCAAAGCAAACGCAATATGTAAACAGGACTGTAAGTTCACCATTTTATTTAGTGACAGAAGCTCTGATTGACATTCAGAGTGCTCTAAAATTTGTGTAAATGAGTCCTTAGAGTGGGATTGGTTTCAACAGGTGTTGCTGATAAATGCCTAAATCTATTATTTTTTAACTCAAACATATTGCTTTTTTTTTCTGCAGCTAAACCCAAGTTCGTTGAGCCCATACAGTTTACACTATCTGACCATGAAAAAGTAGAAATATCAGTTAAACTACAGAGGTTTTATCCTCAGGAGATGGAGGTGACATGGTTCTCTAAAAGAGGACAATCTGAAGAGGAAATTCCAGAGGTCATGAATAACAATCACAATTCTGGAGATACATTTGATCTGGATAGTAAATGTACAGTTCCTGGAGAATTATTCAAAGATCCCACATATAAAGTCATTGTGAGATGGAAACATGAATCCATGGAGGAACCACAATCCTGGGAGATTTCTGCAAGAGGTAAGGACTTAGGAATACAGTTTTTGTTTTACGTTCTGGACATGTTGTAAGCCCTACTGTGGGATTCCTTTCTTATTTAGTAATTTACCCCCTTCTATGTTTAGAGGTGCCAAACTGAAATGAATGTCAGAACCGAGAATTCTGAAAGATTTGGATACATTTGCTTATAAGCCATCATGCCATGGAATTGTATTTCCAACATAGCTTTGCAAAAGCTACACACTTCTTGACACCCAGCCTGTGTGCAAAATATAATGTCCTGCTGACATGATGGGATCCAGATAGTTTAACTTTTTAGTCACTACTTTAATGCAGACTTTACATATACAGATGATGTTCTTCTGAATTTCCTGGAGGTCAAAAGACTGCCTGTATCCTAGTCTTCATGGTATCTTTGAAGACTGAATCTGTAATAACTGGAACACAAGGCAGCTAAGGAGTAGCACAGGCTGGGACCAAACTAATTTGTAAATTAGAACTACAAGAACATACTGTATATATATATATATATATATATAAAAAAAAAAACATTATAAATGTAAGACAGGTTCCTTGTGGCAGCAAACCGTATATTTTTTTATTCAATGATTAATTTTACTTGCTTGGTGCATGGATTAAAAAATGATGATATTGTAACTCTCAATGGGAATATGAAAGCACAAACTTATGGTCACTTATTTGTCAGTTTTTTCTGTGTAAAGTCTAATGTATTTCCACATGTATCTTTGTCCCTTTTTCAGACCTCCCATGGCATCCAAAACTACAGAGATTCGCAATAGAGAGCATCTTCCAAGATGACGAGGTTCTCTTACAGTGCCGGGTGTCAGACTACTTTCCCAATGCTCTGGCTGTGAAATGGTTTGAGAGGATAAAGGGCAATCAGGACGTGGTAGAAATTTCCAGTTCTCAGAAATACAGAATTCCAGAAATCTCATCATACAGGATGGAAAACAAAACTATCTCTTCTACAGCGGTTTTATCTTATAAGAGGTTTGATTTGTCGGAGAAAGGAGTACAGTTTATTTGCAAAGTGGAACATCCAACCCTGGATACACCCATCCAGACCAGTATAGTACAATACAGAGATACAGGTAATTATTATTATTTTATCATTTAATGTGTAAAGTCTGGACTATTTCCCATTCCCACAAACCAGTAATGAATACTTTGGGTCTAATTTGCAAAATAGTGATCAGAAACATCCACTCATGTGCAGAAGTATTACAACAACAGAGCGTCCCTCTTCCATGATTTGATGTTTTCGTGCACTTCTATTCATACTTTAGTTGCTTCAGAGAGAGAGCAACCTTCAGCTTTGGCCCTAAGAGGCCTAGACCCCACACAAGTCTCAAGGAGCCTCTCTGGCAATGCACATTCAGCCTCATGCACTCCAGCTATGTACTGCAGCACTCAGCAGGATCTCTGAGAGGAGGAATCTGAGATTCTCCCAAACATCTGCATACACAATGGAGGTTCTCTTTTCCATGATTAGATGTTTCTGTGCACTTCTATTCATACTTTAGTGGCTTCAGAGAGAGAGCAACTTTCAGTTTTGAGCCCAAAGGGTCCAGACCCAACACAAGTCTCTAGGAGCTTCTCTGGGAATGCACAATCATCCTCATGAACTCAGGCTATGTCTTGCAGCACTCAGTGGGATCTCCGAGAGGGGACATATGAGACTCTCATACTGTAAGTGTTTGCATACACAAACGAGCTTTCTGTTACTTCACCATGGGGCTCCAGTCCTGAGAAGCATGCATCTCAGTGATGTCACACTCATGCAGAATACCCCAATGTGCAACACCCTACAAACAGGGCAGTCTTAATAGCATCATGGGCCCCTGGGAAAAGTGATGTACTGGGGCCCCTACCAACCTGCCCCAATTTACGCAATTACTCTCAAGAATTAAAGTATATATAGTTGATAGAATGAAACATACATATATTAGTACTAATCAACACAAAGGGCACAGTACAAGGGGGGAGGCAGAAGTAAAGGGGAAGTCAGGAGGACACAATACTTAGATAAGCAGAGCACAGTACAGGTTCTGGGATGCTGTCCAGGACATCCCGGGACAGCTTAGTAAAGTGCATGACTGTCCTGGCAAAGCCGGGACAGCTGACAAGTATAATATAATGTAAGATTATCATGGGGCCCCCATGCACCTGGTGCCCATGCAGTAAGACAGCCCTGCCTACAACCAGCACTTACTTCATTTCCCCCAGCACCGGATCTTTGTTAGTACCACTTGATTAATTGGAAGCTTCTTTACATGCTCAGGAACATTTACTGAATCATTCTCACTTCAGCTGCATTGCCATCGAACAACTGTGCTTGATGCATCTCTGGCTATTTAGCAGTTTTTCTCCTTTAAAGGTTCTTTAAAACTTCCTAAAGGAATGCAATCTCCGACCAAAGGACCTTTGTTGCTACATTAGGGTGGAAGGAATGGAAGCAAACTTAGAGAGCAACCCTTAGGCTACTTTCACACTGATCTGCTACAAAAACACAGAAAAAACAGCAAAAACGCATAGGCGTTTTTACCGCACTTTTGCTGCACTTTGAGTGTTTTTTCAAGGACATGTGACTTAAAAACTACTCCAAAAATGCTTCCCAGAGGCGTTTTTGGGGAGTTTTTCAGGCATTTTCTATTGATTTCAATGGGAAGAGGCATTTCTGGGGCGTTTTTTTTTAACTCACCAAACATGCCCTAAAGATGCTGCAAGGAGGAGTTTTTACAAGCACAACGCCTGAGTGTGAAAACATACATAGATATACATTCACATACATAGGGAAGCAGTTTTCTTGAGCTTTTCAGGCGCTTTTTTTAAAGCAAAAACTCTTCAAAAGCTCCTCAATGTGAAAGTAGCCTTAAGCTGCTAATACTTGGCAAAAGAGATATGAAGTATATAGAATAACATGCTTATTCTATTGCTGAGCTTTACAGATGTCATACAGTTTTGAAGATATACCAGTCATGTGCTGAATCCTAACAGCAGTGGATGTCTTTCAGAACCTACAATTCTACCTTATATGTATTTAGTTGTAAGGAAACCATTATATTCTCTGTGCATTAACATATAATATGGTCTTCAATTTTCTTTTTTATATTTCTCTTACTCTTCCAGAGGCTCCAACATTCATTTTAAACAACATCCAGGGCCCCCGGACATGGTTCAGCGGGGAGAAGGTCACTTTATATTGTGCTGCCTCATACTGTAAGGAAGGCACTCAATTAATTTGGATGGTGAAAGCAGCAGGTGTAACTATTTCTGAAATAGGCGAGGATGGAACAGATGTAAAAAGCGGCTCTCATCAGTCCTCAGGCTATGTGGCTCACAGAGAAAGAACTGAAGTATTTGATAAAGAGGGTCTTCATGATGTCACCTCCTCTCTAACTTTCACACCTTCCATCTCTAAACACCAAAAACATATCCATCACCTGTAGGATTCTCTTTGATGGAAAAGTGAAGGAAAAGACTTTTCAACGCCAATATCTTTATGGTGAGATTTCACTTTTGAAATTATTTTGTGTGTATTTACTTAAGAAGGGCTAAAAGTATTTGACTGTTCTGTCAAATGTTTCTTTATCCACAAGACATACCTTCTGAGACTCAGTCTGTATCAAGAATAAGGCAACCTGCTGACTGGACAAAATCAACAGGCAGTTTTACTCGCCAAGAAGGCACAGAGGTTAAATTCAATGTAGTTTTTATGCTCCTTGGCACATACAGTACAGAAGATGTTATCCTGGCTGCATGGTGAGGCTGGGAATGGAATATAGTATATTGCACTACCTAGCCAAAAACCAAGAAAGAAAATAGAGTGAAATATACCAAAACACAAAATGGCAAATAATAAACAGGCTGCTTGTGGCAGCGCACTACTTTGTCATGTTTGAGTTCAAGCTTTGTGCGAAGTATGCAGGAACTTTAAAAATGGAAGTTTCCATGGTGTAGATATGCCAACAATGCACAAAAGCAATGAATACATCTATTTTTTGCACAAACCAATGGATACATCTACTTGGATACACCTATTTCTATGGGCTTGTTCTAGTGATCATTTCTCACTTTATTCCAGCAAAACCCAGTGCACCCGGTCCTATAAAACTGTCTCTGACTGATTGTGGAGAGGTGTTGTGCTTGCTAGACATTGAGGGATTTTATCCCAGTGATATCCAGATGAAATGGAATGACAAGGAGACTTCAGAACCAAACAGAACATCTCAGAACAATGATGGCACCTATAGTGTCCATAGTGAATATAAAGTTCCTGGGAGATTCTTCAGTCGTCCAGGCTCTGCTGTGAGGGTGTCCTGGAAACACGGCTCCATGGAGGACTGGGAGAGCAGAGAGATGTCTGTGCGTGATCCAGGTAAATGATCAGATCCAGAAGTTACTGAATAAAGTTGTTTTTTTGCATGAATCACAAATGCAATTATTTGAGTTTTATGTTAAAGGAGTCTGCCTGAACAAAATCAGAATAAGATGTAACAAATATTTTTAGTGCAATGAAGTTATAATTATTTTAGTGTATATAAGCATTGATTAGAGAAGCCTTTCGCAACCTGTTTATCCCAGAGGAACCCGTTAAGATAACTTTCAGGTCTCAGGGAATCCCTGCTAAAATGAATTCATCTGAGGTCAGTGGTGTGACGGGAGTCACTTTGGGTGGGGGGCCCATGGAACACAGATCACTTTGGAGAGGTGGGGAGACCCCTGTCTCAGCTCCCCATATCCCTCTAATGTGTAAGTCACCCTGTGCCTGTTAGGGGTGTAGGGTGATATGTCATAATATTGTGTAGACATGTATAGGTGGGGTGGGGGGTTGTGGATTGTTTAATGCCATGTGGTTGCATCCCATTGTTCTATTGTGTGAGCAAACTATTATGGGATGTATGTGTGTGTGTACTGGCTTGGTGGGGGGTGTCTGCTGATGTGTCTCTTGTTGCTAGATGTTGTTTGCCCTGCCCTGTGTCATTATGCAGGGGGGGGGGGGGAATTGTTCCCTTGAATATATATATCTTGTATCTGTTTCAAAATAAAGTAGTATATTTCCTGGTTTAATACACAAGACTGGTGTTGTCTAGTGTTGTATGGTCAGCGGTGGTGTCTGTGGTCGGTGTTTGGACAAGGAAGCGGGAGTTTAACGGAAATACCCAAGTGCAGTCGGGGTTCGGTTCCGTTACAAGTGGGAAGGATGTTCTTCACTTTTGTGGTCAGTGGAAAGAATGACTGCCTTGCCCCCCCCCCCTTACAGTAGTGGACAGACAGCTGAAAAGATTATTGATGCCATGCCACTTTCTGTGCTAAGTATCGTTGGACCTGGAACTCTGCAGGCACTATCAGAAGGGAGGTCATTGAACCCACTGCTTGATGAACCCCCAGGGTTTCATAGAACCCTGGTTGAAAATAGCCCAATCATGGTGAAATGCGTCATTAAGTGCGGCTATGATGCAAGGACTGTAGATGAAGCCTGTGTGTTTCCTATCGGATGGAGTTGATTCATGTGGGGTGCGGCCCTGTGCTTACTATTACTGTGGAATAGAGAGTCTGCTTAAAATGACGTTGGTTTGAGCAGAGACCCAGATTTTTGTTTTTTTCATACTAACAGAATAAAAAGAGCAGACACTATCAAAGTTGTCCACAGCAACCAAATTCGAGATTTAATAAAGTAGTCATTCAAAATGAATGTATCCTGCCATATCTCCAGTGCATCCCCAGTTTACCATGAAGGGCCCACCATTGCCCTTACTTTGTCCTCCCCATACATCTGTACAAAAGTACCATTGGACAATTCTATACGGCAGTCAGCACTGGCCAGTATTTTACTCTTCTGGGAGCTAGCAAGTAATTCAGTACTGCACACATCAACTAGACTATAAGGCAATCACCATGTAGGTGTAGAGCGAGGAACGCTGGCCATTTTAGATTGTAGTAATGAGCTGGAGCATGAAAAGTAATAAAGTGTAAAATAAGTCCTTAGGTTCCTTTAAATCAAACAGTGACACCATCAGCAGCTAGTAGACAATTTCCCCAAATGGATATTAAAACTGGCCTTGTATACAGTATATACCTTAGTGCTAAAACCCAAAATGTGCAAATAAGTAAAAATGTCTACATAAATGCCTGAATGGCATGCCTAGAGTTTTATTCCACAGTTTACAAGCAAACCAAAAATTCATCAGGTGTGTATAAAATTTTGTATAATGAGTCTATGGTATTCAAACTTCTTGCTGGTGATTGTAACTCAATGTACTGTATATCCTTGTGTATATATTATACAAACATATAGTTAGTGGATAAAAAAACATATATAAAAATTAAAGAACTGATCCCACCATCCTCGGCAGGTGTCAGTGGAGATAGCTGACTACATAGTTTCAACTCTTTCTCACAACATACAGTAAAGCTTTCCAGGTAGCCATCTATATATTTTGACAGCATCTCTGCTGTCTTTCCCAAAGTGGGACACTCCTGAAAAATGAGCTACTGTTAAAAATTTAAATTTTAACACTGTGTATAACAGTCAGGCATTTATACCATTTTTAATTAATTACACGGTCTGGATTATAGCGCTGTAGTGTATACAGAGCAGTATTAGGGTGGCATGATCAGTGGTGTATTTAGGTTTTGTGCTGCCCTAGACAACACAAAAATAGTCTGCCCCAATGGACACCGACCAACACCATCCCCCTTCCCCCTCCTGTGGAGAGAGTCTGACATTGACTAACAACACCCCTGCCCCCCACTCGGGAGAGCCTTCCACTACCCCCTGGCAATAGAGAGAAAGACACTCATCTGCAAAGCTCTGGACATCCCTGGGAATGGGTGTCAGGCTCTAGATACACCATCAAGCAGTCCGCAGCCTCTCTTGGATCCCAACTGGTTCCCATGACACGCATGTCCCTTCTTTCATCCCTTCTTCTGAGGGGAGCTGCTGCCCCCCTAGGCAAGTGCCTTGTTTGCCTTGTGGTAAATATGCCCCTGGGCATGATAGCTCCCAGGACAGTGAAATAGGATGGATCCTAGACGGTGGCACATACAGCATCAAGTCTGGGTTTGAGTACATTTATATGGCAGTTATTATAGGAGAAAAGATAGGTGGATAAACAATTTTTCAGTTGAATCGGCAGTAATCATTTTTTAAAATATTGCTTTATTTTTGTCACTGACATTGATATAATTATCTTCTATTGTATATCTCTGACATACAGAGTTTCCCTGGAAGCCGAACATACAGAATATTTCAGTTCCCAATCTTCTGATTGGCAGAAAGGCTACACTGAAGTGTAAGGTCTCCAATGTATTTCCTGATGTCCTGAGTGTGAAGTGGCTAAAGAAAGAGAAGGGAGGCCAGGAGTTATTCCCTGTGATCAACAACCAAACATACAATATCTCGGATCTCCGACTGGAGAAGCAGAAGGATAACACATTCATCTACACAAACTGTTTAATGTTTGAACCATCCATCAACAGAGAAGAGGGGGTGGAGTTTATCTGTCGGGTGGAACATCCCACTCTAGCAGAACCGGCAGAGAAGAGCACAGGACCTCTTACTATAAAAGGTGACCATCCATTACCTCATCCTGTATAGCAAAGCAGACTAGATTTCCAAATATGTTGTCATTCCTCTCTGGAAGAACATAGGTTTTGGGTTTTCATACTGCCAGTCAAATTCTTTAAACCAGAGGTGACTTCAGAATTTCCCACAAACTGTGGAGGATCTTTGATCGGGTATGGGAACTATTGATTAGGACCCGATGGTGTATTACAAAACATTGCACTGTGCCTCTAATATAATTTGTTCTGAGTTAACAATTCACAATATAAAGACTTACAGGATATGTATCCTAATTATAGGAAGGACTCAGGTGGAATGTATTAGTACTGGTAGGAGAAGGACTGTAAGGGAAATGGCAGAATCAAAACTCTGTATAGTTAATGCTTATTGAAAATCTAAGCATAGTACCTATACCTCATACTAGCCTTTGCAATGAGCACAGCTATCAAAAAATTTATAATACTGTTTAATTAATACTCACTGAAAACATAAAGCTAATGAAGAAAGAAGGATCAGAAAGAAAAGAGTGACCCTGTGATCTCTAATATTACATACACTCACCGGCCACTTTACTAGGTACACCTTTCTAGTGCCACACCATGACACCACCACCACCAGCCTGAACCGTTGATACAAGGCAGGATGGATCCCCCACATCATGACACCACCACCACCAGCCTGAACCATTGATACAAGGCAGGATGGATCCACCACACCATGACACCACCACCAGTCTGAACCATTGATACAAGGCAGGATGGATCCACCACTCCATGACACCTCCACCAGTCTGAACCATTGATACAAGGCAGGATGGATCCACCACTCCATGACACCACCACCACCAGCCTGAACCATTGATACAAGGCAGGATGGATCCACCACACCATCACCACCAGCCTGAACAATTGATACGGCAGGATGGATCAATGCTTTCATATTGTTTGCGCCAAATTCTGACCCTCCATCTGAATGTCACAGCAACCTGTCTACCCATTCTCCTCTGATCTCTGAACTCAACAAGGAGTTTTCCTCCACACAACTGGCGCTCACTGGATATTTTCTCTTTCTCGGACCATTCTCAGTAAACCCTAGAGATAGTTGTGTGTGAACATCCCAGTAGATCCATTTTTAAAATACTTAGACCAGCCCACCTGGCACCAACAACCATGTCATGTTCAAAGTCACTTAAATCCTCTTTCTTCCCATTCTGATGTTTGGTTTGAACTTCAGCAAGTCTTCTTCACCACATCAAGATGCTTAAATGTGTTGAGTTACTGCCATGTGATTGGCTGATTAGCAATTGGTGTTACCAAGCAATTGAACAGATGTACCTAGTAAAGTGGCTGGTTAGTGTATAAAGCAATGAAGATGTTGGTTACAATGCTACAAGCACCTGTGCCCTGAGGGAAACCAACAATAGTCTGGATAAATGGACTGACTTGGAGGCCATAGTGAAGCATGAAAGGCTGGATAACCAATCTTTAGAAGAAAAGGTTAATAATTTAAGTTAGGTTAGGAAACATTTAGGTTTATCTGTAGGGCTCCAGAGCCAGGACTCATATTAGGATTTGCATTATTAACTGCATTTTTCAGTGGTAGGTATGAACATTTTAATTTTGTATTTGATGAATGTAGATACTAGTTCTTACAAACACACTTTCTACAGTTTTTGTTAGAAATTCCCTCTTTTACTGACCCCATCGGATATTCATAATGTGGCGATATATTAAATATCTCTTACGTATAAATCTGTATATGGTCTGTTTTGCAGGCAAGAAGGTGGCAGCTTCAATCTCTCAAGACAAACACCAAGATTCTTCTCCCCAGATCACTCCAGAATTGTCTGTTGATGGCTCTGTTCCTCCAATTCCTCCAACAGGTCAGTGCGATGACATTTTACTATAGATTATCCATGTAGTTCTGTGCCTTCTACTGGTATAGTTAAATAATAGGAAACCATCAGGACTCTTTTGGAACAGTTTTTGATATGCTACTTCACTACTCACAAGTAGGAATCTTTAAGTTTATGTAAAGTTTTTGGTTTCATACAATAAGATTTTGTTTTGTAGAAAATCATTCCCAATAATGATAGTAGGCGCAGGTCAAGTGAGAACAATGCTGATTCACCAATGTACGCACTGGATATCAGAGTGCCATGAATGGATTTGTGTACAAAATTCTTCCATTAAACATTAAAAAGTTATAATAATATATAAACACAAAAATATAAAATAGCTCTTTCCATTTTTTTTTTTAATATTTTGGTGTATTTTACTGCTATTTGAAGAATTTTATACAATAGGAAATAAATAAGGAGTCCAAACAGCAATTTTAGAAATTCAAAAAGACACCAACACAGGCAAGCACCTAGTATTAAAAGTTCAAGCATTGCTATTTCCAACCCCTTTGTTTCTAATATGTAAGATACTTTAGATACCAACAAAGGTGCATATTTTCTTAATATGTAAGCGAGGACATGGATTGGTAATAACGGGAAAAATCCCAGAGCAGAGCAGTTTACTGCATTAATCATTAGCATTGCATTAATACAGAACAAAAACAATTAAAATAATAAAGGGGATAATTAATTAATTTTCTAGTTAGAATTCTACTGTTAACCATTTTATTTTTTTCACAAAATATGCAAAGTGGTAAAGCCCAATTTTGATTGAATCCAGAAGTTAGATGTTGATCCTGACTGAACAGTTGGTTGCAGGAAAGAAAATTGTTCCATCTATGGACGACTTAAGACTGTAAACTTTGGAGGGAAGATTAGTGGATATAGAAGTATACAATGTATTCCATAGAAAATCATTGTTTGACTTTTAATTATAAAGAAGTTCTTTAGGGAAACTGTACATACTTAGAGTTTAAAGCAGACCTTTGGATCTCATCCCCGCTGCATACTGGGAGAGCTGGGTGCTTCAAACACCACAAGATTTTGCTTCAGGAAATATGGAGATGTTGGTGCATTAGGAAGTTGCTTCCATTTTTTAACCCAATTACTACCTACTATATCAGAGGCAGAGGCATTTTCCATGCATCACTTTTATTAGAACGTCCCACTGGGCATTGTATCCTCATAATATATGCACCATACATGATGGTTGTTTATGTATTTCCTATTTACAAGCTGTGTGTTATCTATGACTATGATTTCATTGCCTCAAGAAAATAGTCAGCAAGACTCTCGTCTCCAATTTCCACAGGATGTATCTAAGACTGACACTGTTTTTGAACCGACAGGTATGGGTGATGTGTTTTTATTGCTGGTTAATCATTTCTCCTTATGGTCTTTAGTAATAAGAAGATCCTGAAGGACATCTTATGAAAAGTATAATTCCTTCAGCTGTCACTAAGAAACAATTGGTTTTGTAAGCTGATGTAGAGCTGGCTCATCAGCATGTTAAACATTAAAAACTGTCAAAAAAATCTTTCTATATTTCTTGAAAATAAACAAAGGGACATTAGAAGGCACAGTAAGGATTCAACCCTTATGATGTGAAGTTTTTTGCTTTGTAAATTTCCTGGAATATAGTGTAAAAAACAGCTCAGGACAATGAGATAAGCAGTAAGCTATGCTGGAATAATTGTTTTCAGCAAATTGTTAAGTCATTTTCTGCTTCAGAGTTATCTTCCTTATTAGGCAGATAGGGGAGGTCATTATCCCCATCTCTCTGGGACTCCCAGTCTCCGGGTCTTCTCCCAGTCAAAACTCTGGGCTCACTTCTTCATAGCCTCAATACTGTCTCAGGGAAATTTTATTTAAGAGAGTTCTTTCTTTTCCAAGTAGCTCCAGGCCACCACCCAGGGAAACCTCTGCAACACCAGGCCATTGAGATGACAGAGACCAAAGTTGGAGAGCTTTTCAGGAGAAGAGCACCCAAAAAGTCCGCACTGCATCACTGCATACCAGCCAGCAGGCCAACTAACTGATCCAAAACATTTACTTTAAGCGAGTCAGCTTCTGCAGAACAGATATTACCTGGTGCACCTGTATACATCAGTTCAGGCCTATCCAAAATGATTTCCCTGAATTCATGACTATTTGACCTTACTGCCCTGAGGAAACCCAGACTCCAGGACCACACTGTAGCATTCCAACCAGTCTTCCACCTTCCAATCCAGGAATATTCCAAACTCTCAGGGCTGTCACAGTGGACACAACATGGTGACCCAAGTCCTTGACATATACAGACACGAAGAGCTTTCAGCATGACAGTATCAGATTAGACTACAGAGTCTTCCATCACACAGGTGATAACATTACTTTTCTTGCAAGATTTTCTTATCCTCCTTTCCGAATAACAAATGTCCCAACTGATATGTAGTTTCAAAAGTAACAAGCCTTTACTGAGTTAAAAATCTTCAAGACAAACAGAGATGTGCATCCTTACACAGAAAATAGTGCTTCAGCGCATAATTCCTCAAACAATAAGCTATGCTTCCATAGAGAAAACTGGTGCTAACATAATCGTTGTCTTCAGAAAGGTATTCCATACTTGGGGAAACTCTGCGCTCTGCACTCTTACCCCAGTCAGGGCAGTGCTGCTCCTCCAGAGGGGAAGCAACATTCCCAAAAGAACCAACATGGTTGCTGTCTTCTCTTCTCCCAGAGTGAAAAAGTGTTCCTTCTCACGAATCCCCTCATGCACACTGCCCCCTTTCTGTTACGCTGCCTGCTCAAATCACATAGAAGTTTGGTGTCCAAATGTGACACAAAACTCTTCAAAATGGCACCCAGAACCCACAGCCACAGCAGTGGATGCACATCCCCTATAAAACAGTTCTACACTAGGAAATAAGGACATATGGAGATATCTAGCGGCAGAAGTAAGGCCTACTCCAAAATCTCACAGTGGGATACTAATACCATGTTACATGCTTCTCAATTCAGAGGGCAGATATCTGATTGCTTAGGCATTGTGATCACT